GGTGGGTCCTGTCTATTCATAGAGTTAATGCATATTTGTGATTTGGAGGTTTAAAAAAGAAATATATATATATATAATAAATTAACTGATTTAAGATGTTTTTTTCACTACACAGTTCTAACCATGTTTCAAAAATGGAAGCTAAAAGCTTTGAATTTAATTTTGTAATTAAATTAGACATTAGTTCCATAAATTCGCTTGAGGATGAAATGGAACTAATGTCTTTAATTTAATTACAAAATTCGAAGCTTTTAGCTTCCATTTTTAAAACATGGTTAGAACTGTGTAGTGAAAAAAAACATATTTTAAATCAGTTAATTTATAATATTAATGCTCTGTAAATTTATAAAAATATCTATAAGAACACCGGATTATATATCTTACTGTTCTTTTTTTTATATATATATATATATATATATATATATATCATTTGGTCAGGCTAGCTTTGACATTCATGTGTCTATCACGCCAACCATCATGGTCCCACATCAAGGTTGGAAGGTCATTTGGGTGGCGTTCATTGTAGGTGGTTGCTGGGTAACCAACCTGTCTTGTGCCATGGCTAGGTATTCAGAGCAATAAATCACTCACAAGTTCTTGTTTTGCTCACCTGCAATGTCCTGCAGTGTGTATTCTGCTTTCACATAAGATTGTAGAAATATCAGGAATGGGTCTATAGAGATGTGATTTAGTTGGATGTTGTCTCCAAGAGATGTTAAGCATAACTTTCAGCATCCAAGTATAGATTCTATCAAGCTTAGACTCGAGAGTTTAGTTAATGTCCAAGCAGTACCCTATACATTTTAAAACCACCTCTAGATGTAGTGAAGAAGAATCTCCATTTGAGATTGTCTGGTAGATCAGATTTCCAGATTACATCCATTTTATTCAAGGCAGGACAAGCTTGAGCTAAGCAAATTTTCATATCGTTTTCAGTAGAATTCATTTTGTTTCCTATATATATATATATATATATATATATAATAAAGTGGCTAAAAATAATAAAATTCTTAACATGTCAGTTATAGTGTTTTGAGATCTCTCTGCCTGTTTGTTGCTAACACTGTTTGATTGTTTGTCTGCCTCAGGTAAATTCAGTTTGCTCCGAGAAGGTTAAAAAATGTTCAAGCCAAATCTCTTTAAAAAGATTTTAAATCAAACTTGTGTTTTGTTTACTCAGAAATAAACATCTATTTAGATTCTTTCTTTGTTTACTATTACGATTTGGTTATTTTGATACCATTCCTTTCTTTGTTTGTGTCTCTCTCTCTCTCTCTCTCTGCCTTGCACTGCCCCACCCTCTCTCTCTCACTGCCTTGCACTGCCCCCCCTGGTCATTTCTCTCTCTGTGCCTTTTTCTGCCCCAACCTCTCTCTCTGTGCCTTTTTCTGCCTCACCCTCTCTTCCTGCCCCACTTGCTATGCTTTTCTGCCCCCCCGCTATGCTTTTCTGCCCCCTTCTCTTTCTACATTTTTTAAATACCCACCCTCTCACTCTGTGCCTTTTCTACCCACCATCTCTTCCTGCCTTTTTTCATTCCCTGCTTTTTTCATTTCCCCTCTTCCTGTTTTTTCTCACCCCTTCTCTCTTTCTCTCTCTCTGCCTTTCTCATCTCACCTCCCCTCTCTCTCTGCCATTCTCACCTCCCTCTGCCATTCTCACCTCCCCTCTGCCATTCTCACCTCCCCTCTGCCATTCTCACCTCCCCTCTGCCATTCTCACCTCCCCTCTGCCATTCTCACCTCCCCTCTGCCATTCTCATCTCCCCTCTGCCATTCTCATCTCCCCTCTGCCATTCTCATCTCCCCTCTCTCTCTCCCCGCCTTTCTCATCTTTCTCTCTCCCCGCCTTTTCTCCTTCTTTCTCTCTCCCCGCCTTTCTCATCTTTTCTCTCCCCGCCTTTTCTCCTTCTTTCTCTCTCCCCGCCTTTTCTCCTTCTTTCTCTCTCCCCGCCTTTTCTCCTTCTTTCTCTCCCCCCTTTTCTCCTTCTTTTCTCTCCCCGCCTTTTCTCCTTCTTTCTCTCTCCCCCCTTTTCTCCTCCTTTCTCTCTCCCCGCCTTTTCTCCTCCTTTCTCTCTCCCCCCCTTTTCTCCTCCTTTTTCTCTCCCCGCCTTTTCTCCTCCTTTCTCTCTCCCCGCCTTTTCTCCTCCTTTTCTCCTCCTTTCTCTCTCCCCGCCTTTTCTCCTCCTTTCTCTCTCCCCGCCTTTTCTCCTCCTTTCTCTCTCCCCGCCTTTTCTCCTCCTTTCTCTCTCCCCGCCTTTTCTCCTCCTTTCTCTCTCCCCGCATTTTCTCCTCCTTTCTCTCTCCCCGCATTTTCTCCTCCTTTCTCTCTCCCCGCATTTTCTCCTTCTTTCTCTCTCTCTGCATTTTCTCAACCTTTTTTTTCTCACTTTCTCCCCATTTTTATTTTCTTTTTCTCTCACTGGTCTTCTTTTTTATACCTTTCTTGTTTTCTTTCTCTCTTCACATTACTTCTTAATTTAAAGCTTTTTCTCTTCTAGCTTTATCACTCTTTTCCCCACCACCATTTACTTTTCCCACCTCATCCCATACATCCACCTTCTGCCCCTGTTAAAACTCTGCCAACCTACCCATCCTTTAAAAAAAAAAGAAAAGTTACTCCACCTCTTTCCCCCAACCTTACCTTTTGTAGTATTTGACAGCAAAAATCTTATTCATTTTTGGAACTTTACTATGAGTCACTTAAAATAAGGTCAACCCTGATTCCTTAAGCTGTAAACTTTTCTTCTTTCTGTCAGTTTCCTTTCTTCTGCCCTGACCTTCCTATCTCAATGATTGTATGGCATCATCTTCTGCTTTGGAAATTATTCCTTGAAATCACTGCTTCTGGTTCAAGCTTAGTATCATATACTTAAATATAGATAAATAGGATGACACCAAGTATTGGGGGAGGGGAGCAGCTTGATTAACAGTTAACACAAGGAACAGCTGCAGTACTCCATATAAAAATGGTGTATTGCTGCCATTTATAGGCTGGTGTTGGCTAATTCTCTCTTTTCAGTCTTGATAGTGTACAGAAGTGTTTACACAGCCTTGTAGGTGATGAATTACTTTCGACTCTATAACGTCTTTTCCACTGGTGCAATGTCTCAAGCCTGTTGCTACTTCCATGGAAAATGTTCTGATGCCATTCCCTAGTTTCACCTGTTCAGACCATTACAGGTAAGACTCACCTGGCCATGTACAGGTGCAGGTCATCGTTATTCCTTTTGTATTCCATTGGTAAGGAGGAAGTTCCATTTAGATAGTTTCTTCTCTGCTACTTTATGGAACTGTTGAGAGGATGCTTCACCAACCACTACAATCTTAACCTCTCCTCTCCATCTAAGGTCAACTGTTATCTATCCTATATATCCTCATAATCTACAATCCTTATGTCCATAAAACAATTCTTTCAATAACTTTCTACCTTGTGTGACACTTGAGCCTTGTATTGATTAAACAACAATGTAAAAAAAAAAATCTTCAGAACAATAAGTCCTGTTGGCAGGGAATGGAATACTTCAACTGCATGTCCTGGGTATGACGATAAACTACATCTGCGTCCTGGGTAAAACAATAAACTACATCCAACAGCAAGGCCTCTGATCAGGAGGTTTTGAAGAGTGTGGAAGCACCTCTTGATTGCTGATGTTCCCAGATCCACCCTGACCCTGGGTTGGTGACACCAATTGGCGTCGCAGCTATGGGCAAATAGTTAGCCCCCAAAATGGGGTCAAAATACTATGAAAGTGTAAAAATAGCTTTTAATACCAGAAATACTTTGTAAAAAAAATATTACCAGCAATAATTTTTAGAAGGAAAAATTATTATCAACAATATTTAAAAAAAAAAAATATTACCAGCAATACAAACAGCTATACTTTTTTTTTGAAAAAATATTACCAGTTATACATTTTTTTTTTTGAAGGAAAAATATTCCAAAGAAATAGATTTTTGATGAAAAACATTACCAGCAATGAAAATTTTGTTGGCATTAAATAACCCATTGACGTTAGTATGCCATAAAACAAACCAATTCAACTGCATAACCTACAGAGGATTAAGAGCACCCCCCATGGGTAGTACCTACCAAGTAAATGCTTATAGACTTAAATATAAACAACCAATATTTACCAATCTCCAAACTGGGTAAATGCTTTACAGTAAGACATGCTATGCTACTTCCACAATCTCACCACGCTTATTTCTTCCATATTCCAAATGTAAGGAGAAAGTTCCACTTGGATAGTTTTTTTTCCTAAAGAGCTGCCATTTTGTGGAAAAGACTCCTGCGTGGGTGCTTCCCTGGACACTACAATTTTAACCTCTCCAAGTCATTTGTGATCTAGCCTTCTCATCCTCATGATCTTTGCTTCCTACCATCTCCTCTTTCATTCATTTTTTTTTTTTAACAAAATATTGGATTTCTTCTGAAATATATTAGAGAGTTAAATAAAATGAATGTTTTACTTTCATTTTTTTTCCTAAAAATAATATTTTGGGTTTTTTTTTTTTTTAACTATGTAGTTAAGAAGTTCCCAGTGTGTAGGCTGTTTTGTATCATTGTTTATTAGTGTTGGAACTGGGAGTCAGCATTCCTAAATCAGAATTTTGAAGGTAAAGTCTTGAAGTGGTTATGTTACAATGTGAATAAATGTTGTAATGAGCTGTCCATGGCATAGACTGGACACCACTTGTTTCCAATGAACATAATTGTATCTGACTGATATGATAACAAAAAGACTGTCAGTTATTGTATTGATGAGGTATAATGCTTTCATATTGATTGATTGAATTTTTTTCTCTACTGCTGTAAAAATGACTCTGTAATCCATTTTGAACCTCATCAGACTTGTTAGCAAACAAAGGAGAATTAGTGAACAAAATTTATTGGCCATTTTTTAATTTGATGCTTTTGGCTAAAGTGTGATATTTTAAAAAAAAATCTAGACCATTTTCATGTTTGTGACTTGAAAAATATGGATCTCTAACCCTTTGTCAAGTATATAATGTTTTCGACAGCAGAATGTCTGGCCCTTTGTCAAGTGTGCCACGTTTCCGACGGCTGAACATCAAGCTCATTGTTGAGCGTGCCAAGTTTCCGACGGCTGAACGCCTGGCCCTTTGTCGAGCGTGCCGAGTCTCCGGCGTCTGACGAGCTCCAGCGTGGTCGCTTTGTCGGCGTGGCGAGTCTCCGGCTGTCTGACGCGTGGCCCTTTGTCGGCGTGCGAGGTTTCCGGCGGCTGAACGCGTGGCCCTTTGTCGAGCGTGCCGAGTCTCCGGCGTCTGAACGCGTGGCCCTTTGTCGAGCGTGCCGAGTCTCCGGCGTCTGAACGCGTGGCCCTTTGTCGAGCGTGCCGAGTCTCCGGCGGCTGAACGCGTGGCCCTTTGTCGGCGTGCGGTCTCCGGCGTCTGAACGCGTGGCCCTTTGTCGGCGTGCGAGTCTCCGGCGTCTGAGCGCGTGGCCTTTTGTCGGCGTGGCGAGTCTCCGGCGTCTGAAGCGCGTGGTCTTTTCGGCGTGGCGAGTCTCCGCGGCTGAGCGCGTGGCCCTTTGACCGGCGTGGCGGTCTCCGGCCGGCTGAGCGCCTGGCCCTTTGTCCCGGCGTGGCGAGTCTCCGGCGTCTGAGCGCCTGGCCCTTTGTCGGCGTGGCGAGTCTCCAGCGGCTGAGCGCCTGGCCCTTTGTCGGCGTGCGAGTCTCCGCGTCTGAGCGCCTGGCCCTTTGCCGGCGTGCGAGTCTCCAGCGGCTGAGCGCCTGGCCCTTTGTCGGCGTGGCGAGTCTCCAGCGTCTGAACGCCTGGCCCTTTGTCGGCGTGCGAGTCTCCAGCGTCTGAGCGCCTGGCCCTTTTGCCGGCGTGCAGGTCTCCAGCGTCTGAACGCGTGGCCCCTTTGTCGGCGTGCGAGTCTCCAGCGTCTGAGCGCCTGGCCCTTTTGTCGGCGTGCGAGTCTCCAGCGGCTGAACGCCTGGCCCCTTTGTCGGCGTGCCGAGTCTCCAGCGTCTGAACGCCTGGCCCCTTTGTCGGCGTGCGAGTCTCCAGCGTCTGAACGCCTGGCCCTTTGTCGGCGTGCCCGAGTCTCCAGCGTCTGAAACGCCTGGCCCCTTTGTCGGCGTGCCGAGTCTCCAGCGTCTGAACGCCTGGCCCTTTGTCGGCGTGCGAGTCTCCAGCGTCTGAACGCCTGGCCCCTTTGTCGGCGTGCGAGTCTCCAGCGTCTGAACGCCTGGCCCTTTGTCGAGCGTGCCGAGTCTCCAGCGTCTGAACGCCTGGCCCTTTGTCGAGCGTGCCGAGTCTCCAGCGTCTGAACGCCTGGCCCTTTGTCGAGCGTGCCGAGTCTCCAGCGTCTGAACGCCTGGCCCCTTTGTCGGCGTGCGAGTCTCCAGCGTCTGAGCGCCTGGCCCTTTGTCGGCGTGCGAGTCTCCAGCGTCTGAGCGCCTGGCCCCTTTGTCGAGCGTGCCGAGTCTCCAGCGGCTGAACGCCTGGCCCTTTGTCGAGCGTGCCGAGTCTCCAGCGGCTGAACGCCTGGCCCTTTGTCGAGCGTGCCGAGTCTCCAGCGGCTGAACGCCTGGCCCTTTGTCAAGTTTGTGACATTTGCAACAAATTTGTTACCTTCTTATATTTCCAATTATTTTTGCTCTTCACTTTTCACTGTTTAATCTTTAATTGTAATAATAACTCTTGAATATTTAATTACTGGCCAAATTTCTGTTTCAAACTTGTTTGGTACAACCTGACCATTATACTGCAGTCAATATACCATAAAGCCATATTAATTTGAGTTTCTTCTTATTAACTTCTTTTATATCTTCAGATTATGTTAACTGCCAAATTTTCAGATAATTTCCAGGCCCTCCAAATATTTTGTTCAGCACATGCAATCTTTTTCTCTTCTGTTTCTATCTTCTTTTCATTCCACCCTCATATCATCTTATGTTTTTATTATTTTATTATTCCCACCCGACTTCCAACCTTCATTTCCACCCATCCAAATAGTAGCCTTTTTCTCCCTCTCCCTTTCTCCTCTTCTACCCTTCTTTTTTTTTTTTTTTTTCTCTTTTTCTTGGCACTTTTTCTAGCCAATTGTCACAATCAGTAACTTTCAAACTACAGATTAGGATTGCACAATTTCTTGCTATTAATCTTCTTTCCCCTTTAATCAGCATCATTTCTTTTCCATGATATTTTGAAAACTCTAGATAAAAAATGTTACATAACATTGTGAGGTTGGAATTGCCAATCATTGGCAAAATTTAGCATCTGGATACTGATTGCAGACAGCAAGTTGATTGACAAATGTGTCATGTCAACCAAGGGAATTGAGTAATTGCATTTGTGTTGGAATCGGAAAGCATTCATGACAGGGGACCAAAAGTGAGCAAGGATGAATAACTCAATCTCTGTCTACCCCGTTCCCCAGCAAATCCCTTGCAAAAAGAAAAAGAAGACATTTCAATGTACATTATAGGAATCAAAATTAAATGGTACACTTATTTTTAATTTTGTTTTTAACCAACTCTTATGTATTCAAATTTGACTAAATCTTAAGTTTCATTTCTGATTGTCCAGGCAACTGAAAGCAACAAAAGAAAAAAAAATGACACAGAGTTAAACAAAGATAGTTATTTCTAATTTCTGTATGAATTTCTAGGATGATGTATTTGCATTATTTACATGCAGACTATTGTTATTATCATGACATTTTGGCTATTGTGCACTCTGACTGTTATCAGGTACTTGTTGATCTGGGTAACTTTCAGCACCTGATGAAGGCTAGAAGGCACAATGGCTGAAACAGTGATAATCACAAAAAAATGAGGATCATAATATGCATTTAAATAAGAGTTACTAAATGTTATTTTATAATGTATTCAAGAATTCTACCAATTTTTCTAGATTAATTAAATTGAAATGTCTTTCTTTGTTATTTATTAGAGCCAAACCAAATTTTTTTTTTTTTTTTTTTTTTTTTTTTTTAGTAATTCTCAAAGCAAAAAAAAATAAATAAATAAATGAAAGGGTTGCACATAATAACTAGAAGGGGAAAATGATGACAGAATCAAGATGTTGACTTTCCACACTACCTTAAATAAAAGATTTGGCAGGAAACTTTCATCAGTACTAGAAAGAGCTATAACAGTTAGTGGACCTGATGAGTTGAATTCCTTGGAAAATTGTTTTAAAAAAGATTTGATTAATTTTAACTGACAGTAATGATACTGAACTAGAAACTGTTTCAAAAAGTACACACACACACTTGATAGATTTGCACAAAAATTTGTTTTTATCATATTTTTAAAGAAATTTCACAATGGTAAATTGATGGGAACAGTAAAAAAAAAAAAAAAAAAAAAAAACAACAACTTTCCACAGACATCCTTAAACAGAGGCATGTATAGTTTTGCTGAGGAATCCCAAAACTTTGGTGGGGAAAAGATTTTAAAAACAACTTTAGCCATTGAGTCATTGAAAAGTTCTAAAGATTCTGCATCTTGCAAATTGTCTGGAAGAGATCTGTGATTAATTTGAAAGCAAATTTTTATCAGTGGGTGTTGGCAGGACAGAAGATTTGAAAACTTGTACTCCTAAAAACTGACTAAGTGTTATAAGTGTGAGAAACTTGATTGTGTACCACATTAAATTCTTTCATATAGCTCTGTGAATGCTTCTCCTCTGATTTGGGAATCTTTCATTTGAAGCCATGAAACATGGAGTGCTTCTATACATGTTGTATATCATTTCTCATGTTTCTTCAACTGAAATGGATAACAAAAATAATATGCACTTAAAAACAGAAAGACACAATTGACATATCTGGAATACATAATGAGGAGAGCTAGCTCAGAGAAATTGACACTCACAGGATATACTGAAAGCAAGAAAGAAACTATGAATAACCTACCTTGTGCAAATGGATGGTAGAACAAGAATGAGGAGAGATATTAAGGAGACAATGCTTAGAGCTACAAATGAGAAGACACTATAAAGAACCGTTATTGTTCACGTTCTGAAGGTCAGTGAAATAGGTTTTGGGAAGTGGGTCATCCCAAGAACTTTTCAGCAGCTCTTTTGTGGTGTGTGATATTCATGATATCGTCTCTCGGTTTCTCACATAGATGCGGGAGAGGGAAGTGCAAAAAGCCATACCTCTGTTATTGATTATTGATTTGATATTTGCTCATTTATATGGCTTAGAAATGAAGTAAGCCAGAAAGAATAGAGATTGTACATATGTACAAAAGGCTGTAAAATTTATTTATAATCTATTATTCTGCATCAGTTGTTTATGTCAGCCAACCTTGAACAATTGACTATTCAAAAAAGTGACCATTATTTCAGTATTGGAAATGAGGAGAGAAATTAACATCGATGAGAAACTTGCAACTCATTCAGCCATTGGTCAAGGTGCATATGCACATCAGTAGATCTGGTCTAGTGCTCCTGTTATATATTTATGGATTCTTGATAAAATCCAACAAAGATTCACAATGTCATTAGTCCTGACCTGGCATCTCAGCTTTAGTCACTTCCCCACTGCCTTAATGTAGCTTCCCTCTGCCTTTTCTATAAATACTTTCATGGTAATTGTTCAGATGAACTTTTCACTATGGTACCTAGACTTTATGAATTTAAGTGCAGTACTAGATTGGCAACAAGGTCTCATTTTATGGTTGAAATGGCTAGATGTAACCATAAGTTCTCTTCTGTCACACTTCTTGCTTGTGAAACTCTCTTCCAGCTTCTTGCTTTCCAGTCAACTTTGATCTTCAGAAATTTAAATGCAATGCCAATCATTATCTTCTGGTTTCTTAATTCTTGTTCTTTTATTGTTCTCGCTCCTCAATAGTTTTGTTTTTTCTCATATTCTCAAATACTCAGTAACCCCTTATCTTAGTGGCTTTATTGCCTTGCTTGGGATGAAATGGTTAATTAACTATTACACCCTGCCAAAGTGTTTTCCACACACACACACAATGCTTGACAAAAATATTTGTTGCATATTTATTTTTTTTATTTAGTTGATATATGGGATTGCAATAAAAATTTTTTAGAAATCACAAAATATTCATCTGCTTCGGCAGCCTTCATCAGTGCTTGGTATTTATTTGTGATTTCCAAAGAATTTTATTGCACTAATGCAACTAAATTTGCAATTCACTCTACATTTGTAGTTCTGCACACAAATAAGTTGATCTTGGTTAAAAAAAGAAAAAAAAAAGTCTACTTTGCTGTGAAATAGTGCTTGACAAGTGAGTTTTACAGGCCATTAGTACTGTAGGTAGTTCAGTTTTAATTGAGTGCTCTATATTTATAGCCTTGTGCCAGATTGATTTTAGTTTACTAAGAACCTAAATGCATGAACACACACATATGCTTTGACTATCTCTACCCATAATACATTTTTTGATCCATTTTCCATCTGGGTACATGATTATGGGTTTTATTTTTGATATAAAAGATTTTTGAAACATGTTTGGTGATGGGAAGGTGTTGGTGGTAGGTTTGACAGATCCTGACCCTATAACTGGGTCTTTCATCAGCAAGAGAATGAATAGAGTGTAAGGTATGGCTCTCCCCTTACAGAAATTTATTTATCCAAAACTGTGATTACATATCTCTTTGGGGTTCCATGTTTTGAATCAGTCTGTTTCATGAATGACTCAACTTGGTTTCTTTTTATTAAGGATTTTGATTCCACACGACTTCATTTATCTAAATTGAATACCGTATTTAGCATCAAACATGGCAAAGCAATAAATATTCAGATAAATTGGATCAATTTTATTGTTAAGCCTTGTGTGTGTGTTTCTTAATATTATGTCTTTTTTTTTCTCTCTTTATTCCTTTTTCTCTCTTTATTCTGTTTTTCTTTCTGTTCTTTTTTTTCTCTCTTTATTCTTTTTTCCTTTCTGTTCTTTTTTTCTCTCTCTTTATTCTTTTTTCTCTCCCTTTATTCTTTTTTTCTCTTTCTTTATTCTTTTTTCTCTCCTTTTATTCTTTTTTTCTCTCTCTTTATTCTTTTTTCTCTCCCTTTCTTCCTTTTTTCTCTCTTTATTGTTTTTTGCTCTTTATTCCTTTTTTCTTTCTGTTCCTTTTTTTTCTCTTTATTTTCTTTTTTGCTCTTTATTCCTTTTTTCTTTCTGTTCCTTTTTTTCTCTCTTTATACCTTTTTTCTCTCTCTATTCCTTTTTTCTCTCTATTCCTTTTTTCTCCCTTTATTCCTTTTTTCTCCCTTTATTCCTTTTTTCTCCCTTTATTCCTTTTTTCTCCCTTTATTCTTTTTTTCTCTCTTTATTCCTTTTTTCTCTCTTTCCTTTTTTTTTTTTTAAGTAGAATTAACCTATACTGGCTGAGATCATTGGATGTACATCAAGAGGTATATTTTCTTTAATATAAAGAAAATTTATCTCTCAGCAGGAGTTGAACCCGTATTCATTATAACCTGAGAAACCACTTTTTAACTAGACATGCTTGACTGTTTTGGCCATGAAGATCTCTTACAATGCAAAATGATTATTTAGGGGAGATATCACATGATCTAAAAGCCCACATCTATGAATGCAAGAGAGACTTGAGTTTGAACAAACAATCTCTCTCTCTCTCTCTCTTGTTTTGCATTCAAGCAATGCTGGACATAACTTTGATTACACTAATGGCAACCTAATTAAAAAAAAAAGGACAATTCTTTAAGGAGAAAATACATTGCAAACTTAATAACATTATTATCAACTATAAACAGACACATAAAACATTACATTACATCACCATCTTTCTTTGAATTCTTTCTTAAAGAATCTATTTAATATAAAGAATACAGTCTTAAAAAGATCAGCCATAAATTATAACCATGCGACACTCTGCTGTGTGGGCTGACCGCGCAACGGTGAAGACAACAGAATTCCCACTAGACAAACACACATAGACAATTACAAATACACATTACCATCCGATAACCACTTAAACATACAAGAATCTTCACAGATTTACATACACATGACACATGTCTGACCAATGAAAACTGACCCAAATATAATTGAAAATACCAGTGTTTCTGTTTTTTTGTCTTGTTTTCTCTCAATCTCTGACGAAGCTTTAATAAAAGTGAAACATGTTAGACTGATATACATTTCCTATTTGTTCTTTTATTTTATCATATATATGGCATGTGGCTGAGTGGTTTGAGCATTCACTTTCTGACCAGGAGACCCAGGTCGAATATCATTATGGTTGATTTGTCAGGAAGGAGACTTCCTGATGTTATCGGTCTGGAGGGGTGGGTGATCCCAGTGTGCGGAACCTTTGGAAAGTGCCTGAAAACCATACCACGGGTTGACCCAAGCCTTGTGAGTGAAATTGGGTAGACAGAAAATATTGGGCCGTTGATAGCCATGCTAACACAAAGTTACAAGCCATTGTGACTGAGGGTTTAAGTATGCTGGTGATATTCAGA